TATATATAATATATATATATATATATTATATATTATATATATATATATTATAGATGTATATATATGTATATATATATATATATATATATTTTATATATATATATATATGTATATATATATATATATATATATATACTATATATATACACGCAGATATATTTGCTAATATATATGTAAATATATATCTATATTATATATTATATATATACATATTATACAGACTATATATATATATATATATATAATATATATATATATATACTTTATATAGATATATATATATATCTATGATATAATATATATATATTTAGCATTACTATTTATCTGTATGTATGTATTATATATATATAATCATCTATAATTTATATAAATATGTTATATATACATACATACATATATATATTATTTATATGATATAGTATATATATATTATATATATATATATTACTAATATATGTATACATTATATATATATAATATATATATATATATATATTATATATACACTACACACACACACACACACACACAACACACACACCACACCATATATATATATTATATATATATAGATATATATATATATTATATATTATATGGTGTCGTGTTGTGTATATATATATATATATATATATATATTATAATATATATATCATATATATCTGTATGATTATATATATAAATGATATGTACATAGATATATATCTATATATATATATATCTATATATATATATCATATATATACATATATACTTATATACATATATTATATATATATATATATATATATATTTATACTATATGTGTGTGTGTTTGTGTGATTTGTGTGTGTGTGTCTGTGTGGGTGTGTGTGATGAGCATATATATACAAACATACATATATATTTTATATATATAAATATTTTATATATATTATATATATTATATATATACATATATATGTCTAGAAATGTATAATATATGATATATAGATATAATATATATATTTGATAATATACTGTATATATGATGTATATGTATATATTAAACATAAATATATATATATACTATATATATATATTATTATATATATATGATATATATATACATATATATAATATATATATGTATATATATCACTATAATATATATATATATATATATATATATGATTAATATATATATATGCTACGATATGTTATATATATTATATATATAGATATATATATATATATATATATATATATATACCACACACACACACCACACACACACAACACACACACACACACAATTCATATATATATATATATATATATATATATATTATATTATATATATTTTATATATGTATATGA